TGTTTTCAAGATTGTCACTTCGCTGATTATGACGGGGATCGGGCTGCCCGGTCAACTCGCGGGGGTCCAGGGGGCAGCGAGCGCCACGGCGGGGTCGAGGGGCAGCGCCCCCGAAGAAAAATGCAAAAATGCATTCAAAATTGCCTGTCCGCTCGAGCGAACATCCCGCGCTCGAGCGGAGAATCCCTGGTTCCAGAAGTTTTGGTCACCTGTAAAAGTATTGAGCTGTGTGATTTCGCACTCGAGCGGGTTCCCTAGCGCTCGGGCGGACCTCTGTTATATCACGCGCATATTTTGCTGAAGACGCTCGAGCGGGCTGTTGGGCGCCCGAGCGGAGATCGCGGGACAGATTCTATAAATTCGCATGTTAGGTCAGATTTTAGGATTACTACTCCAGATCTTCTTTTTGGGTTCTAGTGTTTATATCTGGGGATACTTTGTGAGGTTTCTTTGATGTTTTATTGAGTATTCAACTCATGGTTTAAAGAGAGTACATCAAAGGTTTTGTTTGCTATACAAAAGAGAGAGTTGTTCTTCGGTGGATTCTGAAGAATTCGAGCCTGAAGCTTTGGTGGATTCCGGGGTGGCTCATCGTAAAGACAATTCCGAAGTGAAGACGGGTTGGAAGAGGCACATAGAGGTTGGTTTAATTAGGCGTGGATTCGCTAGGTAATTGAGAGTATACCTGTGTAATTCCTTTAAATCTTCTTAGTGGATTGTTTTGTGGCTGTTGCCTGTGGTTTTTTTATCACAGTTGGAGGTGTCCAATTGTGATTTTTTCCACGTAAAATCGTTGTGTCTCTTTGTCTTGATTGTTTGATTGGGATTGTTATATTCTGCTTAAAATTGATACATAATCACAAATCAACATCCAGGGGATTTCTAGATTTTTCAGATTAGTTAACTCTTCTACTAATGGTTGCAAGTAAACATCGATGTCTCTTCCAGGTGCGGATCGTTCGGGAATAAGCAATGACATCATGACAAATGGATCTTTCATACACTTCCATGGGGGTAGATTGTAAGACATTAAGATTACGGGCCACATATTGTACGATGTACTCATATGTCCAAATGGATTGAAACCATCTGTGGCAAGCCCTAGCCTTACATTTCGAGGATCCGCAGAGAACGTAGGATACAGCCTATCAAAGTCCTTCCATGCCTCACCATCAGCTGGATGTCACAATACTCCATCATCCACACGCTTATCTTTATGACATCTCATATATGCGACTGTTTTTTTCGACATGTATAATCTCTTCAACCTCGGTGTCAAAGGAAAGTACCTCAGTATTTTGTGTGGAATTTTTTTACTCGTCTTGTCGTTCAACTTGTATCTAGACTCCGTACATGCAAGGCAATTCTCCAATGTGGCGTTGTCCTTGCAAAATAAAGTACAATCATTCTTGCATGCATGAATGGCCTCATATCCCAAACCCAATTCACGTAAGAACTTTTTTGCTTCATAAAGGGTCCATGGAACATTTTCATCACACTTTGGTAGAATGTCTTTGAAAACTTGCATAACCATATCGAAAGATTTGTTGCTCCATTTATTGTACACCTTCACGTGAAGCATCTTAATTACGAAGGACAAGATGGAGAACTTTTCACACTCTAGATATACTTTGCATTGAGCTTCATCGAACAACTTCATGAACTTCAACAAATTGTGCCTCTCCGAACTAGTACGTTCTTCATCGATATGATCATTCATGAGACCACTCATGTAAATCTCTTCTAACATGGTTGGAAGTTCACCCACATTTTCGTGATTGGTTGTCATTCCAGCTCGGTGGCTTTCAGTATCATCGTTTCCCATAGTAGGATAAGCACGAAACATGGAAACATGTTCCCCGTGGTGGACCCAAGTTCGATAAGAACATGTGATTCCTCTTCGAATCAAGTGCAACTGTACAACGTGTCGACTAAATTTCGTGTCGTTCAAGTAATCAACACAAGGACAATGGATTTCATCCTGCGGCCCTAAATTCTTTGAAGCGAACTCAATAAATGACTGAACACCTTCTAGATACTCTTTACTTTTTAGCCTATCTTTGATCATCATCTAACTCTTGTCCATTATTGAAACAGTACACATCAAGCAAAGATGAACCTGGGAATGGATGGCAATTTGGAAAAATACACTGTAATGGAAGAGAGCTTCTGTAAAGTTTAGGGATTCGATTAGCATTGCTTTTTGAAATGAACGAAATAGTAATAATAGATCGGGATGTTTTGCCTATTTGTCAATTGCATATAGTTGGTTAATTTCATTACTAACTTGGCATGTATTCATACGCAAATGTGACATACATTCACAATTCTATGTGAAACTAACACCTCCAAATATTAGTGTATTCAATACTATTTTTATGCATTATTCACAAACAAGAGTGTATTAAAGACTCTTTTAAGCATTACGCAGTAGTTGACGTGTATTCAATACTAGACAAAGTACAAGTTCATTTGAGTATAGTGTAGTAGATGACCATTGGCTATTTGTTGCGCAAATGTGACATACATTCACAATTCTATGTGAAACTAACACCTCCAAATATTAGTGTATTCAATACTATTTTTATGCATTATTCACAAATAAGAGTGTATTAAAGACTCTTTTAAGCATTACGCAGTAGTTGACATGTATTCAATACTAGACAAAGTACAAGTTCATGTGAGTATAGTGTAGTAGATGACCATTGGCTATTTGTTGCTTGCATAGTTGTGTCTAAAGCTGTGACAAATATATAACATCAATAAAATTAGTTGACGTTTATGTGTTTTGAAGGTAGCTCGAAGATGTTAGATTGTTGAAAGGGTCTAATTTTGTGCATAATATGTCAATAGACTATGATTTGGGGTATTTTTTTCTTCTTTTCATTAGAGAAGAGTGTTAATCAAGTTGACAACAATTATATTTCAACTATAATTATATTTTGTATTGTTCATATACTAAAAAAGTGTGTGAACAAATTTATTTTCATATTACAAAATATTTAATTCAATTACATGGATTGATTGTTCCTTCTAAGTAGTATTCCAAATATATACCCTTAATATGATTCTTCAATTCTATACTAATTAATAGGGGCATTTGCTAGTCTTGGTGTAAGATTAATTTATATTTAACAAACATTATACTAATTTCTATATATTTGTTCCAAAAAGTAGAAAAATAATTTTAAAATTCATGAAAAATATTACATGAAACAGACTATTAACTTAAAATCGTTAAAAAGTCAACAAAATCAAATATTCAATTACTAAAATCCAAAATTGAAACCCAACAACTAGTACTATTTACATTCTACATTTGGAGTAGAATGTTCGAATGTGATATATTTACATAGATTACCACCCCTTTATGAGTTCTCTACTTTCTGATGGATTTCGTGTTCTTGCAGTAAGGGCATTTTGGTCTACAGCAGAGATGGGTCAAGCCTATTGAGGACCTAGACAAAAAAAATCTAGTTAGAATATGGTTTGTTGGCTACACCAAATTATCCTCTGTTGTTTCAATGGAGTTGCAAAGGTTTGCACTAGAAAGATGTGAGAGTATTTAGGCTATTGATTAATCACACTTTCTAATCCTAATTTCATATGGTTTGGCCACAGATTTCTCAACTGAGGCTGACTTTTAAAGAAATTATTTTCAACTATACAAAGCAACCACAGTGTAAACCTCAAGTTTTTCGTAGTGTGTTTGTTGATTGGTCATCAGCACGTCGTCATGGGATATGTGTTCATTGTTGGGTCATCAGCAACGTCTTTCCATAATTTTAGTTCATGACATTATATTGTTAACCCATGCTGAGGGGAGAAGAAAATGTTTTGTTAACTGATAATCCCAAAGCAAAATTCTAGTTGTTCAACTATAATTTGTTAAAGATGCATATCCTAACATCCACGTGTATTGGGTGTACAATTATAACATATTTAAGAACTCTTAGAGAGGAAAATAAAAAGTATTTAAAAAGTCAATATTATAATTTTTTTAAAAAACATGATAGACTTAGAATATGAATAGCAAGAAAACATAAAATAGAGTATAGAAAAATATTGACACATGCCCAATTAAAAAGACAATGTAATGAGAAAGACAGCCAAACAAAATTTGTTTACCACATCATAATGAAAATTCTCCAAAACCAAACAAAAATGAATGCAAAATACAGGCTTAAATTTAAATTAATAGATTGTTTTTCACATTTAGTGACAGTTTAAATTTTAATAAAATAAATTTTTAAAGTTTTAATTAATTAATTTTTGTGTAAGTTGATTGGTCTTTTAACCTAACTGATTAAACTAAACCATTTTTGCTTTGAATGATTTGTTGGTTTAACCATGATTTTAGTTGTTTTATATGTTACGATAATTCTTTCTTACTCATTAAGTTTTTTAAATTTCTTTAATTATTTTCCTTGCAAAAACTAATTTGAAAATTTTTTAAAATTCATATATTCTTATTCTAAAATAGTGAAAATATTAGAATTGTATCATTTTTTTTATAACAAAACATAATTTTAATTATTAATTATTAATACAATAATTTTAATCTATCTATATTATATGTTATAGTAAAGGAACATTTAAAATAAAACTATTAAACTTATATATATAATTTTATTTATGAAAAATAAAATAATAAATAATATATTATTTTACCTCGTGCATAAAAATAAATAAAAAAATAAAATAAAAAAAAGAAAGAAAAGAAAGAAAATGATATGAGAGAGATGTGAATGGAATCTTTATTATTTGGTTCCAACTTGATGCCTCCTCGAGTCTCCGCAGTAGTCAACACCGTGTGGAGCCCAATGTGTTAAAAAAATGAAACCAATCCTAATTGTTGTATTTCTATTTGATTTCTTTGAAACCGTTTGAAAGCCTGCATTTCTTTTCATAACATTTCCAAAAGTTACAAGTGAAAATTGATTCAACTCTTTTCTCATCTGGTTTTGATTTCAATTCCAATTCTCAAAACAGATTAGAGTATGCCTGATCTACTCATTTCTCCCTTTCTTAGATCAATTTTGGCAACCTTGAACTCTTTAGTGCTAAAAGAGTTTGGGATAGCATGGGGTTTGAAAACAGAGCTAGAGAAGTTAAAGAGCACACTAAGTACCATTCAAGCAGTCCTTCAAGATGCAGAGACAAAGCGAGGGAAGAGCGAGACTCTGAAGAATTGGCTGAGAAAGCTCAACGACGTAGCTTATGATGCAGACAATCTGGTGGATGAGTTCATGAATGAAGCTATGAAGAGAAGGCTGGATTCTAAGAGAGGCATAAAATCCCAGGTGAGAGCCACTTTCGCTCTTCTAAAACGGCTTATATTTCGGTTGAAAATGGGGCATAAGATCAATGATATGAAAGATAGGTTAGATGCCATTGCAGGGGAGAAAAATAAGTTTCACTTGAGGAAAGGTGTGGAAACTGAACAAGTTTGTGGAATGGAGAGAGAACAAACTAGTTCAATGGTGAATGAATCTGAAATTTATGAGAGAACTGATGAGAAAGAAATGATAATTGAAATGTTTCTCAATAATTCGGGTGATGATAATGATGTTTCGGTCTATGCTATGTGTGGTATGGGGGGGCTTAGAAAAACCACACTTGCTCAATTAGTCTACAATGATGAAGGGTGGAGAGCTACTTCGAGCTGAGAATTTGGGTGTGTGTGTCTGTTGATTTCGATGTAGAGAGACTAACCAGAGCAATCCTAGAGTCCATAAAAGGTGGTGGGTGTAGTATCTCAAACTTGGATCCACTTCTACGTCGCCTCCAAGAAAAACTGCGTGGGAAGAGATTTTTACTTGTCTTGGACGATGTATGGAATGAGTACCATGAGAAGTGCGATAGGCTAAGAAATGCACTAAAGTGTGGAGCTAAAGGCTGTACCGTTATAGTAACAAGAAGGATTCAGAAAGTTGCTCTTATCAGGGCTACACTTCCTATACACCGCATGGCTTGTCTATCGGAGGATGATTCTTGGTCCTTGTTTAAACGGCGTGCATTTGGCAACAAAAGAAGAGAGAAAAACCTTCAATTGAATCTCATTGGGAAGGAAATAGTGAAAAAATGCAAAGGGTTAGCCTTAGCAATAAAAGCTTTGGGAAGCCCCATGCAATTTAAAATAAGTGAAAGTGAATGGTTATCTGTGAAGGAGAGTGAGATTTGGGATTTGCCAGATGATGGAAGTGGTATTTTACCTTTTTTGAGGTTGAGCTATGAAGCCTTACCTCCACATTTGAGGCAATGTTTTCCTCATTGCTGTATATTCCTGTCATGACCCGAACCCGCTCCCGTGGGTTGAGGACATATCCGGCCAGTAATCATGAGATTACCTACGGCCTCAAACCAAACCAAATGTATGTTAACAGAGTTAATGGGGGCCAAACGGAAGTAATTTAAAACTTTGTCCATAGAGCTGTGCTTACATGGCATATCATAACAAACCATACATATGCATATTAATAACTCACAACAAAATATGTACTACACAAGGTTCTATACATACAGGATCACATAAGTCAAAGTCAACCCAAACAAACTATATACAACATATTCAAAGACTTTGTCCACATGACAAAATAAAACAGAATGACAAAAAAGCGAAGACGGGTCTTGTGCGTGAGACACAAGGGCTGACTTTGTAAAACCTTTGTTGTTCCTCACAAACTTCACTGGGGCTGGGTTTGGACTTCTCTTGGCTCACCGACAAACACATGAATGAGCGTGAGCGAAAGCCCAGTGAATAATATCAAATAAAGGAGTTATACAAACGGTATGTAGAACAACATGCTTCAAACGGCCTTGGGCCCAATTCATATTTTCATTTATGTCAAACTGGCCTTTGGCCCATTCATTTATTCGTATCAAACTGGCCTTTGGCCAATTCATTTATTCAGGTCGAAACGGCCTCTGGCCCATTCATTCATTCGTGTCAAAACGGCCTTTGGCCAATTCATTCATGTCAAAACGACCTCTGGCCCATTCATTCATTTGTGTCAAAACGGCCTCTGGCCCATTCATTCATGTCAAAACGGCCTCTGGCCCATTCATTCATGTCAAAACAGCCTCTGGCCCATCCATTCATTCTTGTCAAAATGGCCTCTGGCCCATCCATTCATTCTTGTCAAAACGACCTCTGGCCCATTCACTCTATCATTCAGATCAAACTGGCCTCTGGCCCATTCATTTGGCATAACAACATTGTCCACCAATCAAATCAACAAACTTATAAAACTTACATAGAAGTAAGTAATTTGGACAACAACATATTTCAAATATCTTTGTTAAGATATTACTCACAGTGATCGGTTGGTTGGTTTGCCCTGGAGCTCGACCCTACACATTCCATGAACACAAAAGGGTCACAAACAATTCAATCCGTTCTAAATTCACATTTTCCTCTTTAGGCTTCATTCTATCTCTTTAACTCAATTACAATGTTCAATGCATGCCTAAGAGTACTTAGAAGTGAAAGAGGACGGAAAACGAAACTCAGGATGCCTTTTTCAAATTTCAGAAAACAGGGTCCCCGCTCGAGCGTGGACTTCCCCGCTCGAGCGGACCCATGAGATCTGCAAAAGTGCTGGATGCATCAAAATTACGCTCGAGCGTGAAGTCTGGCACTCGAGCTGAAGGTCTGTCTACATAGCTCCCCGCTCGAGCGTGAACTTCCCCGCTCGAGTGGACATCCAAGTCTGCAAAAATACTGGGAGCACGAAATTCACGCTCGAGCGGCGGTTTCCCCGCTCGAGCGGACATCAAATTTTCTAAGATTTCCAGAACATGTTCTTGAGCTCCAATTTGACATTCAATGGTTCTAGATGCATGCTTTTGGCTCAAAATTCACATAATCATATACTAACATGGTACCAAACCAAAATTACAACACAATGGAGCTCAAATTTCACAAATTAATCACATGCATGTCCCAATATACACCAAATTCACTTTCAACATAACAATTTCATCCATTCAAGCTCTACTTCTTATGAATGGTACATGCATGTGAGATATAACTCCATTTCAACTCAAATTGTACAAATGGTGGTCACAAGCATGGATTCTAGCCACAATTTATAATGGATCATTTTTCATGCTCAATTATACAAATTCATGGCTATTATGCACATGCATGCATTCTATGACTTCAAATACAACAAAATCAACTCAATTTCCTTAAATGAATTTAATCCATGTTCTTGACCATTATTTCAATTACCTGCCTAGAGCCTCAATTTCTCCAATCAATAGAAAATTCTTGAGTATAGCTTCAAAGTTATCAAGCTTCAAGGCCAAAATTGCACAATTCTCCCTCTCTCTCTCTATAGCTGGCCTTCTCACCCTCTCAAATGTATATCTCAGATTTTGAGCTCAAAAAGAACCATGAGAGTGTATATGGCCTTTTATATAAAGCCCCACTAATTCCAATTTAATAATAATAAATAATTGGGCACTAATTCATCAATTTAACTTGGTCAAATCAATTTTTCAATTAAACTTCACCGTAGGCTCTAAAAATTATGTCATCACAATGGCGTGACCAATTTCGATTTTGGTGGCCGATAGGGCCTTCAATTTAATTTCCAAAGCAGACAATCAAACAGATATTCCTATAGTAAACAGATAGAAATTCAAAAACCACATATTTTTCACATAATGGCACACAAATCATATCAAACACATAATCATATTTCATGTTAAGGACCAATATAGCAGACTACAGAACAAGGATATTACAAGTCTTCCCCTCCTTTAGGAAGTTTGGTCCTCCAAAATTAATTTACCTTCGTCGAGAAACAAATGTGGATAGTGTAGTCGCATTTCATCCTCATTTTCCCACGTGGCATCCGTCCCATAAAGTTCTTTCCATTCCACTTTCACCATTGGGATGGACTTGCTTCTCAGTTGTTTTCACTTGTCGGTCAACGATTCGTTCGGCCATTTCGGCGTATCTATTTTTCTCAATAGCTACCCGGTGATAATCAATCACATGAAACGGGTCTCGGAGGTAATCCCTCACATCGACACGTAAAACACATTATGGATTTGTTCAAAATCCTGGTGGCAAGCAACTCTATAACCAACTGGACCAAGCTTTCCAGAATCTAAAACGGCCCAAATGTAACGGGGCGACAACTTGCCCTTCTTTCCAAACCTAACTTGGCCTTTCATTGGGGACACACGGATACACGTGGTCACCGCCTCATACTCAAGAGGTTTCTCTTCGAACGTTTCGCATAGTTCTTTTGTCGTCCTGAGCTATTTTGAGCCTTTGCCGAATAGTTTTGATTTCTTAGAAGTATCTTGCATATTTTCAGGCCCAAGTAAAAGCTCTATCCCGACCTCTGTCCAACAATTTGGTGATCTACACCTTCTACCATACAAGCCTCGTATGGTGCCATATCGATGCTGGAGTGGAAGCTGTTATTATAAGCAAATTCCGCAAAGTGGCAAATAGTCTTCCAACTCCCCTGAAAATCCAAAGCACACATCCGAAGCATATCTTCCAAAGTCTGTACTGTTCATATCTGATTGCCCATCTGTCTGTGGGTGGAATGCAGTACTGAACGTTATTTCTGTCCCCATTAGCTTTTCCTCAAACTCTTACCCAATCTAGATACAAATTTCGGATCTCTATCCGACACAATAGATACCGGAACTCCGTGTAAACGGACGATCTCATCAACATAAATAGTAGCCAATCTATAAGCATTAAATGTAGTTTTGACAGGAAGAAAATGTGCAGATTTAGTTAGTCTATCAACTACAACCCAAATAGAATCCATACCTCAAGAAGTTCGAGGTAGGCCAACAACAAAATCCATAGTCACATGCTCCCACTTCCATTCAGGAATAGGGAGAGGTTACAGTAGACCGCCTGGTTTCTGATGTTCAGCTTTAACTTGCTGACACAAAGACATTTGGACACATATTCTGCAATCTCTTTCTTCATCTTAGGCCACCAATAGGTCTGTTTCAAATCCCGATACATTTTATTGTTACCCGGATGCATAGCAAACGCTGATTTGTGGGCTTCATCTAAAACCCTCTTCTTTAGTTCCGGAATGTCTGGGACACACATTCGGTTTCGAAATCTCAACACTTCATTTACAACGCCAAACTCTACTTTCGGACTTGTCTCAAATTCATCTATCACCTTCTTGAGGAATTCATCCTCTTTCTGTTTCTATTTGATTTCATCAATGATTGTCGGCTCAGTTGTAATAGCGGCTATCAATCTTCCCTGTTCACACATTACCACTTCAATTTTAGACTTCTCAAAATCTTGCAAGATCTCTTTCTGTTCAGTAAGCAAACAAGCCATACTCCCCATTGATTTTCTGCTCAAGGCATCAGCAACTATGTTAGCTTTTCCGAGGTGATACTGAATCTCTAAATCATAATCCTTTATTAGTTCCAGCCATCTCCTCTGTCGCATATTCAACTCCTTCTACGTGAAGAAGTATTTCAGACTTTTGTGATCCGTGTAGACTTCACACTTTGCTCCATACAGATAATCCCGCCAGATTTTCAAAGCAAAAACAACTGCAGCCAATTCTAGGTCATGTGTTGGATAATTCTTCTCGTGTGGTCTCAACTGTCGGGAGGCGTAAGCAATAACCTTTCCGTTCTGCATTAACACTCAACCCAAACCTTTATAAGACGCATCACTGAAAATTACAAAATTCTCCATTCATGAAGGTAGTGTCAAAATTGGTGCAGTGGTCAATCTTGTTTTCAGTTCATGAAAGGCAGCTTCTCTTTCGTCGTTCCATTCAAACGGTTGCCCTTTTCGTATCAATTGGGTAAGAGGCACAGCTAATTTCAAAAAGTCCTTCACAAACCTGCTGTAGTACCCGGCCAACCCATAAAACTGCGGACCTCTGTTACATTTGTCGGTGTGGGCCAATTCATAATTGCTTCTATTTTCTGTGGGTCCACTGAAATCCCTTCTTTGTTGATAACATGCCATAAGAAAACAACTTCATCTAACCAAAACTCACATTTCTTTAGCTTAGCAAATAATTTCCTTTCCCGAAGTATTTGTAGGACAGTTCTCAAATGATGTTCATGTTCAAGTCTATCTTTAGAATATATCAAAATGTCATCAATAAAAACCACAACGAATTCGTCAAGGTAGGTTTTAACAATTCGGTTCTTTAAGTCCATAAATGCTGCCGAAGCATTAGTCACTCCAAATGGCATAACAAGAAACTCAAACTGTCCATACCTCGTTCTGAATACGATTTTTTCAACAACTGATGATACTCGGACCTC